AAAAAAAACGACCTACACTGCAAAAAACATCTAGAATTAAGTAAAATAATTCTTAAATTGAGTGTATTTGCCCTTAATTTGAGTAAATAAATGAGATGATTTGCCAATGGAATTTGTATTTTTACTCCTAAAACGAGATAATTAGATAATATGCACTTGAAATAAGACAAAGCATTTTTTTTCTCTTATTTTAAATGTAAATTGTCTTTTTTCATTGGCACGGTATCTCAATTGCCTCCTTAATTCAAGGAAAAATGCACTTAATTTAAGCAGAAACTACTTAGATTTCCATTTTTTGCAGTGTATGAACATGATTCATATAAGTACAGCAACATTTAATTGTTTCTCCTTTTGTGTTTTACTCATTTTCCTTCTTTAATTTTTTTTTGTCATCCATCATTTTTCCATACTGTGATCTGTGTTTACAAGCGTGCTTGTAGAGGTTATCAGCTTCTGGTATGAGACTGAAAACATTTGAGTGTTCTGCCCAGCGTGAATTCCTTTGACTGACATCAATAGTAAAGGATCGCCATCTGGTGTAGATCACCACTCCATGTGGAGCTCAATCCAGAGGAGGAACTTAAATGTTTAGTGACAGAAACAGGGGAAGGAACATATTCCTGATTAAAACTTCAATTAATGGGAGACGAAGAAAGAAAAAAAAAACAGATGCACCTTTGAAAGAGCCCCTTGGCCAATAAACTGAACGCGATATATGCTTAAAAGAATCAGCATGCAGTTATCGCCATCTGCTGTCTATGGCTGGAAAGGCCTGTGGATGACAGAGGAGAAGCTAAATGCCACACCTCTTATAGATTGCTGGGAGCCTTTTCCTCTCACTGAATGTTAATTACCTGAACATTGAGCTCAATGCACCTCTCTCTTCATTTAGGAAAAAAAAAATGCCTATGTTGTTATTTTAATTACTGCACATGTGTGCTCACTTTATTTTTCAATCATGATATAACATTCACGTTAAAGCAGAGTTTAAGCATGAGTTGGAGCGCACAGAAAACATTTAAAAGTAGAATTGCTTTTCAACATATGATCAAATAACAGGCATTGCAGCTTGATACGTCTCGGTGTGTCTTTTTTTTTCTCCTTTTGCTTGGTTCTTATTTTTGCCTTATGGAACATTTGAAAGCCATGATACACATCACACACTATGGCATCATTGTAAGGACCCTTTATCATTGTAAGGACCCTTTATC